TGAATCTTAGAAAGTTCTTCAATTCCATTAAACTTAATAATATAATTCTTTTAAAATCTAACACAATCTTAGTCCAATACACCCTCCCAATTTTATTGGTTGAAAAGTGAAGATAATTTAATTTTGATTGGTTATATTAATTTTCAATCTAAATCTAAATTATATTATATACTAAATAAGGTAAATATTAAACATGGTAAGAATATGAAAATTTAATTTGATAAAATATTAAATTATGTAATATATTGAATAAGATATATTACATATAGTAAGAATATGAAAATTTAATTCGATAAAATAAAAAATTATATTGTATATGAAATATGGTATACTTTATATATCGGAAGATATTAAGAATTCTTAAATCAACCTCTTTATTATCTATTATATATAAATGTGCGAATAGGAGAATAATGAGATTTTCTATAGTACTCTCAATCAAATTTTGAATATAATAAAATAACTTTAATTACAGCCAATTAGAAAATTACATTTTATTAATTGATCGAATATATTTACAAAAATTATTTTTAAATAAATATATATAAATAATTAAGTACAATTTTAAGTTTTTCCTTTTTTAAATTTATTTTTAATAAATATATATAATAAGAGACATTTGAGAAATTTTAATATTTTATTTTTTAAATATTTGATATTTTATTTTTTAAATATTTGATTCTATTTTAAATGTTTAATATATTGTTTCACCCTCAATTTTAGATTTTATTGTAATTTCACTCTGATTTGATCTTTATACTAATTTCACCCTGAACTTTGACCTTTTATTATAATTTCACTCCAATTTGACTTTTATATCAATTTTACTCTAAACTTTGACCTTTGTTGCAATATCACCTTAAATTATAACTACAACTTAAATTGTAAATAAAAAATAGTCTTGCTATTAACTTTGGACTTGGATTAACTTAATACATTTATATGAGTGAAGAAGTTTGGATTAATAGTAAGGACAATCTCTATTATTATTTTTAATATTTTCAAATTGTTTCTTTAATTGACAATAAATAATATTTAAAAATTAATTTTTTGATACATGAATGCTTTTTTTTTAAAAAAAAAATAGAATATAATTATATCTTATATTCTAGTTTGATAAAAAAGTATATTAAAATTTCTAATAATTGATAGTAGCTTTGCTTTAGATTTAATAATTATTTTTAAATTTATATTAAAATAAAATGATAATAATAATTATAATCTAATTTTTTTTAAAAATGTTCATTTATCAAATAATTAATTTTTAAATATTACTTATTATTAATATAAGAGAGAATTTAAAAATATTAAAAATAACAATAATAATTGTCCTAACTATTAACCCAAACTCCCTTATTCACATAAATATATTAAGTTAATCTAATCACAAAGACAAGAGTGAATCTATTTTTTATTTACAATTTAAGTCCTAATTATAATTTAGGGTGCTATTGCAATAAAAGGTCAAAGTTCAGGGTGAAATTAGTATAAATGTCAAATTGGAGTGAAATTATAACAAAACTTAAAGTTGAGGGTGAAACAATATATTAAAATTCTAATTTAATTATAATTTAAAATATTTTATTTCGGAGAGGTATACAAAAACAAAAAAATTTATTTTATTAATATTCCTTTTTTTATATTTGTATGATTTGATGGATATATTTTTTAAAAAATAAATTTTCAAATATAATATATATAATATTTTATTTAGAAGAGAGATAAAAAAAGAAACAAATTTATTATTTTATTATAATTTTTTTTATGTTTGTGTGATTTGATTGGGTATATTTTTAAAAAAAATAAATTTTCAAATAAAATATACATAATTAAACCTTTTAAAATTTTTAAATTTTACTTTTAAAAATTTACTTTAAATAAAATGAATTAAATTTTACTTTTAAAAATTTACTTTAAATAAAATGAACATAAATGTGGATGTTAGATTAGCACACAGTTTAAAATTTTAATTTTAAAATATATATCATATTTTATTGATATATTTATATATCTATACATATAGAATTTTTTTTTGTCACGTAGATTCTAAAAAGAGTGTTATTCTTAATAATAATTTTTTATTTTTTTCTTTTTCATTACTAGATAAGTTGTAATATTATCATTTGAAGTTAGTAAGCGAGTTGTGTATTCCTTGCAATAAATAAATGGCCTCTTGATGATTAATTGTTTTTAATTTTCTTAATATCTTTTTCTTTCATATCTTAAATCTGTTTGACTTAAAAGAAAATAGTATTTAGGAAACTGGAAAAGAATTAGAACTATATATTTCTGTTTTGGATCACTTTTTGAAATTTCAAAAATTTATGTGTATATGCATATAATCCTTTTTCTGATACATTGGTAAGTAATCCGTTACTATAGCCAAAATGATTATCATTATTAATTTAGTTTGAGACCACTTTATTATATAAAAATAGAATTAAGTACAAAAGAAATAACATTTCAAGTAGCTTGTACGATAAAGAGTAATACAAATTAACCATTTATATTTATTTTTATCTAAATAAAAGAGTACAAAAAATGAGTATATAACCACTATCAATTCAGTTTGAGACCACTTCATTATATAAAAATATAATTAAGTATAAAATCAGTAGCATTATAAGTAGCTTGTACGATAAAGCATAATAAAGATTAACCACGTGTATTTATTTTAATCTAAATAAAAACTTATATTTTAATATTATATAGATAAATTAATAGAGTAATATTATATAGATAAAAAAAAAAATTAATAGAGTGAAAAAAATGAATATATAACGAATATAATCAACGTAAAATTCATGTCATAAAAAAAATATCAGTGTGTATAAATAAACTCTTATTAGGTTAAAAGTACTTAACAAATTCGAAAAAGAAAAATTACACCATAATTTGATTTACATATACAAGCTAATTTAATCAATATTGTATAAAGAATTTGACTTCGTTGGAAGTTTCGATTTGATGTAATGAAAAAATCAATTTATTATTAATTAGAACCAAACATTACCATAGATAATAAGAAATATATTTTTTGAAATTTTTACAGTAGTTTAATCTATTATTTTACATTGGCAGTGATTTTTATATTGTAATTTTTATATCAGAATTAGTCATCTACTGTATTACACTTACTATTTTTTAATTTGTATTTTGAAGCATATTTTAATATTGAAAATATGTTCTAAAAAATTATTAAATTATGAATTACTGAGTATTATTTATTTTGATTGAGATATAGTGTGCTAATATATTCAAGATTTCCAATTTCTTTATAAAAGGTTAGATGGTATATTTGAAAATAATGTGCTCCCTCCTTCCTAAAAAAATTATCTCATTTATTTTTCACACATATAATATTTACCCTTCTTTTTCCACGTATACCCCTATATTAATAATTTTTTGATTAATATTTAGAGTTTTTCAATAAAAAATTAATATCTCCGTACATATTTCAATTACTTTATATTTATATTTGCTTAAATATTTAATAATTCTATGTATATTAATTATTGGCACAAATTATATTATAAGGGTATCATAGGAAAGTTAACGAAAAGACCATTTTCAAAAATGAAAATAGGATTGTAATGGAAAGTGAGACTATATTTTTAAAATGAAGAATATTATTCTTTCATTTTATTCATATTTTAGATAATTAAGGAAAAAGAAATTATCTGTTTTTCAAGAATGAAGCCAGAATCTAAATAAAAGGCGCAAACCATATAATATACAGGTCAACGTGCCAAAATGCCGGTAGTGTTTTAAAAATAGTGGAAAATTTGAGGTTGGAGCTTGAGAATGCAAAGCAATTTCTTTTTTTTTTTTTTTCTGAAAGAAATTAATTATTTTTTAGTTAATTTGTGTTGTTATTTTTTTATTTAGTGTCAATCGAATAATAACAAGAAAATATATTTCTCAATATGCTAACATGCCTGCTATTCATGATTTTTCAAATGAAAATTTTATTGTTATATAATTATTTATTTTGTATTTTTTTAAACTAACGCAACAATGAAAATTTAAGAACTCCAAAATATGAAAGATAATACTAATTTCTTATATTTTAGTAGTAATGTAGAAAATTTATGCTATCATATTATTTATGACAAAAAATTAAGTTAATCAAATTTAATTTTTTTATTAAGAAAATATAAATTGGTCGATAAGTATTTTTATTTTCATGAAATTTAATTGTCAAACTATAATAATATTTTTTATTATTATAAATATGTTGCTTCCTTAATGAGTTATTTAATTATTTAATTTTTTATTTTATAAATTTTTTTTCTATTTTTTGAATCCTTTTATATTTTTAGCGATATAAACTGTTTATAATATTATAAATATATATAAATTAAATTACATTTACTTGCAATGAGTAAAAATCAACGAGTCCTCTCGACCACATCTGTGTTCACCAATTTGGTGAATTAAGGGGAGGTTTATCCTCCTGTTGTGTAGCCTGCAGTATTATTTCAGCGCATAAAAGCTTTAAATGAATTAAAAAAAATCAATGAGTATAAACGACATGCAATGCACGTTGGAGAATATTATTAATTATTTAAAAATTATCAATATTATTAGTAACAAATTCTATTTTTTTATCTTTTAAATAAGAATAATAAAGTTAAAAAAATAAAAAAAATGCTACATAACTTATAAGAAAAATTTTACTCTTATTGCTCATTTCACTCCAAAATAACAACATCAGCAAACAGTAAACCAGAATGTCACTAATCATTTTTTGTTACGATGGAATTACTCTCTCTAGAAAATTTTCCAAAACCATTAATTATTTCTAATAAAAAAGAGAAAACTTCTGTTGACTATTTTCAACTATACGCAAGAAACTAGTGTAACAAACAATACATACGTTCTGTTCCCCGCAGGTTGTAACCAGTAGAAAAGCAACTGCCCCCTGGCGGTGACGTGGACTATAACACGTGCGACGCACTTCGCTACACGAGTGGAAAACCATACCATTACCAATATACCACCAAAACATTCATTCATGGACTCCATAGAGAGAGAGAAACGGCCTCTCTGCGCATTGCGGAGTTTGGGCCAATTGCTTGTTCTTTCGATTTCACTCTCGACCCTTATTGGCTCTTGCATTGATTATATCTCTGCTTCTCTTTTTGTCCCCTCTCGTTTTCGCTTATTTTCCGGGCCATGAATCGATCGGATTTTAATTTTTTTCAACGATCATCATCGTCCCACCATTTGTCGGTAAGTCGCCCACAATCTAATCTTTTGTTCCTCTTCTTTCCTAGTTGAACTGAATTGTTTATGTAGCATTTGATGTTCTTGTTATTGGTTATCTGTTGATATTTTACATAATAGTGATATAATGTTTCTATTTAATTTAGATTGTAATTGAAAATGAAGGCATGAAATTGATCTGGGTTGTTGCTGAAACCTTGATTGAAGACTATTATTTATTCAAATGTGTTTTGGCAGATTAGAATCTGAAGAGTATGGTGGATTTTAATTTTTGTCCTTTTTGTGCCCTATAATTGCAGATGGTACCTTTGAAATTTATCTAGATGTCGAATTCTGGATAAGAGTAGAGCTCTTTATTTTCCCTTTGGTGCTTCTTTTCCATCTTGGGGGGTATGGAGCACCTTCCTGTTGAAGTTATAGGGAACATACTATCTAGGCTTAAGGCTGCCCGAGATGTTGTTATTGCATCTACTACTTGCAAGAAATGGCGTGAGGCTTGGCGTACTCACCTCCATACCCTTTCATTCAACTGTAACGACTGGGCTGGCTACCGTGATCTAAACACAAGTGGGTTGGAAATTCTAATTACTCAAACAATTTTCCAAACAACTGGGCTACAGAATTTGTCGATTTTCATGGGTGATACAGATGAGTTCTCGGCTGCTCCTGTGATTGCTTGGCTTATGTATACTAGGGAAACTCTGCGAGAGTTGTATTATAATGTGAGGACTACCCCGAATATTAATATAATTGAGAAATGCGGTAGGCATAAGCTGGAAGTCTTGGCATTAGCGCATAATTCTATATCCGGTGTTGAACCCAGTTATCAGAAATTTCCTTGCTTGAAATCACTTGCATTGAGTTTTGTTAGTATCTCAGCCTTGGATTTGAGTCTTCTGTTGTCTGCTTGTCAAAAAATTGAGACCTTAACTCTTATTAATCCAGATATTGCCATGTCTGATGCACAGGCAACTATGGAACTGGGTAGTTCCTCTTTAAAGGATATCTATGTTGAATCAATTAGTTTGGACAAGTTTATATTGGAAGCTGATAGTCTTGAAAAGTTGCATTTAAAAGATTGCACTCTTGAGCTTTTCGAACTTATTGGTAAAGGGTCTTTGAGGGTTTTGAAGATCGACGATGTTAGTGTCCTCCAACTTGAGATTGGTGAGAGCACATCAAATCTTGAGGTTGTTGATGTAAGAAACTTCACTATAACAGGGCCAAAGTTCTACAATATGATCTCAAGATCATCAAAGTTGACTAGGCTTCGTCTCTGGGGAGTGGTGTTTGATGATGAAGATGAGGTTGTGGATTTGGACACTATGCCGGTTTGCTTTCCTCAGTTAACGTACCTTTCATTAAACTATGATTTAAGAGATGAGGTACTTCATTATGGCTTGCATGGATCCTATCAGTTTAACAATGTCAGTGTGTTAGAATTGGGGTGGTCGGTAATCAATGATTTCTTTACAGACTGGGTGGCAGGGCTTCTAGCTAGGTGCCCTAATTTGAGGAAGTTGGTTATTTATGGACTTGTTTCAGAGGTTAAGACTCATGTCGAGTGCCAGATGCTAGCCAACTTCACATCAGCTATTGTTCGACTCATGAGAAAGTATACGCAGATAGAAGTCCAGTTTGAATATGAATAGAAGTTGCCATTAAGAGATCTGAGAAATTTTTCCTCTGCTATACACACATTAGGAGTTTTAAGCAAATTGTGAACGTACCATTCTTTCTGTGTAAGTGATGAGGTTTTTTTGTTTTCTGCTGTAAAATAGATCTTCTTGAACATCTTTCATCTGCTAGGAATCTTCTATTCTTTTGGTATTCTGTTTTGTTGTGCATACCAAAAACTGAGGGTTGTTCATGAGAAAGAATTGAGAGAACTCATGCCTGTTCATGAACTCAGCTTAGACTCTAGGAAAAAAAAGAAGAGGGTTTTTACAAGCACTCCTGGAAGCTATAGTTAGTTCTTTATCTTCATTAAATGTTTTTAGCGTAGTTCTTAATCTTCTTTATACTGTTCTTACCAATGTTTTGTCAACTTAATCCAATCTCAGTTGGATAATCAGTAGAAATTAGTGCACCATCTCTAAGCAAGTCAAGGATTTGTTTTTCCAATGCACAAGGACACCCCCTTCGCTGTTCCTTGAAATTATTTGGTTATCTTTTGATATTTTAGCATCCAGACTAGTGATATAATGGTTTCTTATTAACATTTTAGATGTAATTGAAATGAAAAAAGCATGAACTATTGAAAATCTGTGGTTGTTGAAAATGCTGAACCATTGATTGAAGTACTGAATTTTTTATTCAAATGTTAGTTTTGGCAGATAGAATCCTGCTAGAGACCTATGGAATGGAATTTAATTTTTGATTCCTTTTTGTGGCTCCTTTATGAATTGCAGATGGTTACCTTTGAAATTTATCTAGATATGTCGTGAAATTCTGTGATACAGAGTAGAAGCTCTTTATTTTCCGTTTGGTGCTTCTTTTCCATCTTGGGGGGTATGGAGCAACCTTCCGTTGAAGTTAATAGGGAACATACCTACTAGGCTTAAGGCTGCCCGAGATGTCTGTTATCTGCATCTACTACTTGCAAGAGAAATGTATCGTTGAGGCTTGGCGTACTCGAACCTCCAACCCTATTTCATTCAACTGTTAACGACTGGGGCTGGCTATCACGTGAGTCTAAACACAAGTGGGTTGGAAATTAAGTACCTCAATACAATTTTCCAAACAAAACTGTGCTACAGACTTCTGATCGATTTCTGTACAGATGAGTTCCCGGTGCTTCCTACTTGGCAAAACAGGGAGATCCCAGATATAATTTATATTGATTTAAGACTTACCGAACTTATCTAATAATTAATTGTAGAACACCCTGCGGTAGGCATAAGCTGGACCGTCTAGGCAATGTTAGCGCATAATATCATATATACCGCGTGTTCGAACCCAGTTAAATCAGAAATTTCCTTTGCCATTGAAATCAGCTTGCATTGATTTTGCTGTGTAGTATCTCAGCCTTGGATTTGATGTTTCTTCTTTTCCTGCTATGTAACAAAAAATTGAAACACACTAAACTCTATTATATCCAGGATATTTGCGCCAGTGCGTCTGATGCACAGAGCAACTATGGGGAACTGGGTAGTTTCCTCTTTAAATGATGATCTCTATAGTTGAATCAGATAGTTTCGAGGACCAAGTTTAATATTGGAAGCTGATAGTGCTGATGGAAAATAGTTGCATTTTAAAAGATTGCACTCCTTGAGCCTTTTCGAAACTTATTTGGAATAAAGGGTCTTTGGAGGGTTTTTGAGATGTCGACGATGTTTAGGTCTCTTCGCAAGCTACGAATATTTGGTTGATGGGGAGCATCAAATCAACTCTTGAGTGTTTGACCTGTAGGAATACTTCACTATAACAGGGACCCAAATCCAAGTTCTTACATATGATCTTACAAGATCATTCCAAAGTTGTCTTAGCTCGTGACTCTGTGGGAGTGGTGTTTGATAGATGAAGATGAGATTTGTGCGATTTGGACACTTAGTGGCGGCTTTGCTTTCCTCTTTAACGTACCTTCCATATGAAACTATGATTTAAAGAGATGAGTGGTACTTTTCAATTATGGCTCTGCATGGATCCCTTATCAGTTTATTTAAAACAAGTTCAGTTGTGTTAGAAACCAGTTGGGAGTGGTCAAGGATAATTTCATGATTTTCTTTTACAGACTCGTGCGCAGCGAGCTTCTAGCTTGCACCTAATTTAGGAGTTAGTTATTTATGGATTTGCTTTCAGAAGGTGTACAGACTCATGTCGAAGTTTGCCAGATGCATAGCCAACTTCAATCAGCTTATTGTTCGACTCATGAGAAATAGTTATCGCGCAGATAGAAGGATACCTCAATTATTGAATATGATAGATAGCAGTTGACACATTAAGAGATCTGAGAAATTTTTCACTCTGCTTATACACACCACATTAGGAGTTTTAAGGTCAATATTTCAGCGAACGATATTGTAACACAATATGTTGTACTGTTGTCTGTAAGTTCGTATGAGGTTGTTTTTGTTTCTGCTGTAAATAGATCCTTTCTTGAACATTGCTTTGCATCTGCTAGTTAGAATACTTCTATTCTTTTGGTATTTCTGTTTTGTGCTGTGCATACCATACACCAAACATAGGGTTGTTCATAGAAAGAAGCTGAGAGATATGCTTCAATGCCTGTTCAAAGAATCAGCTTAGCTTCTAGGAAAAAAAAAGTAAGAAGGACGTTTTTACAAAGCACTCCTGGGAAGCTTCATTAGTTAGTTTTTTATCTTCCATTAAATGTTTTAGAACGTAAGTTTATTATATCTTCTCTTTAACTGTTCTACCACCTGTTTTGTACAACTTAATCCAATCTCAGTTCGATATATATTCAGTTTACAGAAATTAGTGTTGCACCATTCTCTCTTAAGCCTCATAGTCAAGGTCTTGGTTTTTCTCATGCCATCAAGGACACCCACTCCACCCCCCCCCCACTCACGCCTCCTCCCACCCCCCCCCCCCAATACCAAAACAAAAAAAAAGAAGGCTTTAAAATCCTACACATTCTTTTTTCTTTTTTCACCAGCACCTGTTAAGTATTTCTGTTTTACCAATAAACCTTGCCGCAAATAAAAATTTGGCATCACCATAAATTTCAAATAATTTATCCAAACAAGAGATTAGATAATATATATATATTATATCTGGATCACATTTTAAAAAGACGTCATACTATCGTTCTTTTCCCCTTAGTCTGAATAATTAGGACCAAAGGCTTTATGGCGTGCTTTCAAAAAGTCTCAAAGTCGTTGCCAGGTAGATTTGCATAGGTACAAACAAAAAAAAAAAAAGAAGGCTTTAAAATCCTACACATTCTTTTTCTTTTTTCACACACTGTAATATTCATTTTAAAATAAACCTTTGCCAAATAAAATTTGCATCACCAATTCATATATTTTCCAAACAAGATAATATATATATATATATATAAATTTTAAAAGCGTCAGATATCTTTTCTTTTCCCTAGTCTGAATACATTTAGGCACGGCTTTATCGTACTCAAAAGTCTCAAAGTCTGCCAGGCAGATTTGCAAGGGACATTTGCCCAGAAGATGGTAAGACCAACCAAATATACGGAATAACAATAAGAAAATCTAGCTCTTGTAACTATGTCAATGACATAACTGAACTTTATACAACCCATAATTGAGGAGATCATAATTAGTTCAGAGAGAACTTCTCCATCCAAATCCACATCATTCTGCACTCTTGATCCAATCCTTCGATTTCTTTATATCTATTGGATTGCAATTTATGGCTTCTAATCTCAAAATTCTGCATCATACATATAGAACTTATTGAATAAGATGATAAAATATCAAATGTGCCTCAACCACCACAGGAAAAAATCGGTACTAGTATTTTCCAATACCTTTCATGTGCAATAATTCACCTAGTTTATTTGTTCAATGTTCAAAAAAATAAAATGAAACGCAGCTTACCATTGCTTTGCAATATTACAAGGGACAGCTCAAATTCCTTCTCATCATCCTCAGTTTATCTTTAGCCTTTTGGGCTTTTGTCTGAGCTTTCATTCTCAAATCTTCAAGATTCTGCAAATAAGACTCATACATGTGAAAACAGCAGGAAAAGAATTAATGAACACAATAGAATCACATAAATTAACTATTACAATTAGTTAAACTATTACAATTAGTTACCTGCTGTTTCCTTTTCTTCTCAAGCTCTGCCTGTTCAAGTATGTGCTAAGAATATCAATAATTATTACAACAGATTTTGCTTTTAATTTGAAAAGTAATGTTCATGTGCATATTTATGTACCAGAGCATGCCTAAGCTGTTCGTTCTCTTCTTTTAGTTGGTTCAACTCTGCTTCTAGTTCAACTGTGTATGCCTGTTAAAAACACAAAGATACTTTGTTTCAAACAAATCCCAAGTGGTAATTAAGTTGATCACAATTAATTAATAACCTGTTTTCGAGCTCTAGACCTTGCAGCAGACTCTCTATTCTTGATCATCCTCCGTTGCCGCCTCTCAACAACCTTCTCTACTGGTCCATCAATAATTCTCTTCCTTCCTCTTAACCCACCCATGTCTATTCCAAATTGATTTACTGTATTATCAATACTATTATTACTAACCATTGCATCATTTGACACTGGACTCACTTGTCCCACCACTCCCATTGCCTGATTCGGCGAATATCCACCACCACTATTACCCACTCTTCCCCCATAAACTGATCCTGGTGGTGGAGGTGCTGCTGTTTCCACCACAGGCCCAGCATTTTGTTGAATTGTCTGATAACCACCACCACCACCACCAGCAGCAGCCATTCCCAAAACAGGTCTGGAAAGAAAACTTGTAGCCATAGCATTGTTATTATTAGTATTAGTACTTTGATACAACCCAAACTGCTGAGGCTGTGCTGATGGAGCAGCACTCTGTTGTTCTCTTACTACTCCTGCTTTAATAAGAAAATCTTCCAATGTCATCTCTCCAAAAGTCGGCTGCCGCGGAGTAGGTTCATGATTCTGCTGCACATTATTACTACTCGTCGTACCCTGTCTCTGACTCTGACTCTGACTCTGACTCTGACTCTGACTCTGACTCTCTGTGTATTTCAGACCAAACTTCCTCGACAGTTTTCCTACACAATGGTGCAGGCAAACTAAGGGATCCTTGTCTAGGCAAACTAGGCTGCTTAGATATACCTCTGTCGCTGCCAACATCAATAAACACTTGATTTCCTTTATTATTTATATGATCATTATTACTAGTAGCAGTAGCTTGATTTTCTTCTGCATTCCAAATACTGGTAAGAAACTCATCCATGTTCATGGATCCGAAATTCTTACCACTCTCACAGAGTGTATGCTGGAATTCGTCGAGGGTAAGAGAGTAGATTGAGGATTGCGTGCCGAGAGACGCAAGAGGATGGTTTTTATTAGCCTGTTGGTCGGGTTGCAATGGGGACTCCTCCACCTCGCTTTGAGAGAGTACTTCAGAATCTGTAACAACCATTTTGTTCTTCTTCTTCTTTTTTTTTTTTTTCTGTTTATGGTTTGGATTTATTTCTTTTGGAAGGTTGGAGAGTTGTAAGTAGAAATGGCGTTTCTTTTAAGTAGACCTGTACAAAAATGGTTTAGCAAGAGAAAGAGACAATATGTAAATGGTAGAGAAGTAAACCAGAAAAGAACATTAGGAAGAGAGGAATGAGAGTCCATTCCTTGTATCAGAAAAACAGAGAAAAATGCTTCTTACCGGTGGACTGGTGGGTCCAAAATTAGATGCTTCAAGGACAAAAAAAATAATTCAAATTTAAAATTATTATTTCTCTGTATATGAAAATTGAAGTTGTGACTTCATTTGTTACACTCAACTAATAGATAGCAGTGCGAACCAATTCATAGCAAACACCAATCAATAATTAATGGTAATAGACATGTGACGAATAACAATTTCTAATAAAAATATTGTGAAAACAATAAGTATTGGTCCGAAAATCATTTAGAAAAAAACACTTACCTACACCATACACACAAACCAATTGAACCTTTTTTTTTTTTTTTTTCAAACGACAATCCAATTGAACATATATTTTGATTATATATATAAATTTTTATTTTATGGAACAATAAGGGATAATTTTCTCTTTTGACTATCCATTTTTTCTATAAAACAATAGAAAACCAATCAATCATGCGTTAAATTAAAGTAAATTATATTTTATTAAATATAATCTAAAAATACAATTAATTACATCAAGAATTTAATTACCTTTGACTGAATATAGTATAAAAATACATTTGATTACATCATGAAGGTTACTTATCAATATGATAGAGAGTTATACAACTAAGCAAATTAATTTGTACAGAAAGTTCAAAAAAAAAAAAAAAAATTACTGTAACATGGAAGAAATGAATTCTGAAAATAAAAAAGGACCAATCGAAATCATAAGACAAGTTTGCAAAAACAATCCATCTGTGTATTATATGAACCTACCCTCCATTCCTAAGGTGTTTCATGCTCAATAAATATATAACAATAGAAACAGAGAAAATGGAATTATTATAAATTGAAGGCAAAAGAAGAGTCGACTGCGTCACAAAGAAATATCCAATCCATATTACATGATAAAAAATTAATTTCCCAAATAGGAATATTTCGTACCTTGATAGAAACCAAAAAAAGGAAAAGAATCTTTCTTCTTTTGGTAAACCCATTGGCGGCCTCTGTTTATTAAATATATTAATTTAAACCATCTCTCTCACTCTTTCTCATCTTTCATTTTCAAAACCCATACCCATAGTTTAAATGATTCTCATCTTAGCAGCTAAGTAATATATATTGAATATTTTCAAGACCATCATCCTTTTTCTCTTTTTCTTTATTAACATCAAATCAAACAAGTTTTAGATATAAAGGGAAACCTCAAAATAAGTATTTCAAGATTAATTGTTAATAAATATTTTAATTAAAAGAATTCTCATTAAGAATCTGCAAAATAAGAAAGAGAAAAAAAAAAAAATCAAGAAACTGACCTGAGTCTTGATTAAGTATACCCAAGAAAATTCCAACACAGAAGTGGGTTTTTCTTTCTAACTAGATTGAAAGGCTATTTGTAATTTACACACATATATATATATATGCATAGCCTTGGTCCTTAGTTCTTCATGTATCAAAAAGACATGATAAGAAGAGCCAAGGGAAACTTTTAGCGACGGGAAGAGGAAGAGGAGGAAGAAGAAAAAGTACAGTGGGTGTTCTTTTATTTTCTTCTTTTTCTTGTCAAGTTTTTTGTCGGATGTTACTACTTTTTATATATTGAGGATTGGTTACGGTGTAGTAATTATGGTTCTGAATTTCATTGAGATTTGAGCAGACATTTGTTTTTTAAAAAATGCTGGTTTTGGGCTCAGAAAAGTGGGGCCCAAAGTAGCGTATGAAAGTTTACATTTGGAGTCCGCCCCAAAAAGCAGTGGGCGTGCGGATGTTGACACGTATCTAACATGTGTCTTCTTAAAGCTTGCTTTGAGAATTTCCTATGCACTGAGCCTACACGTGTGGTATATTTTATTTAATTAGTATTTTTTTTTTCAAGAAAACAAAGAAGTTTAGGACCAAATCTTAATGGTGAGGACTGTGAGTTGAAAATTGAAAAACTATTTAATAAATCCGAATAAAGTTTTTTTTTTTTTTCAAAAATTTTCAGCAATAATTTTGGAAGATCCAGAAAAGATTTGAAGCCCACGATTACCCTTTGGCGAGTCCAGCAGTAATCAATAATCCCAAGTCAGTCCATTTTTACCTACAAAGGCCCAAAAATTAAATTATATTGTAAACATCGAGCCTTTTCATACGTGACGTGAAAGAAGTATATAAACTAAGCAAATTGAAAAGAAATGGCTTATTTTCTGTATCTATGATATAAAAAAGTAATTTTTCTACAACCCTAATTCCTCTCTATGCCCCCCTCAGTGCCTGTTTCTTCTTTTTCCTTAATCCTTCTCAACTCTGATTTTAAATAACCCATAACCGATCCAAACTTTGATGGCTCAAAAAGAAAAAAAAAAAAAAAAAAAAGATCCAGAAAAGTTTTGAAGCTCCACCGATTACCTTGGCCTTAGTCCAGCAGTAATCAATTAATCCCAAGGTTACAGTTCCAATTGCTTTTATCCTAAACAAAGGCCCAAAAAAGTTAACACTTTATATTGTTGATCAAGAGCATCGTAGCCTTTGTGCATACGTGATCCGTGAAAGAGTATATACTATATATCTAACATGAAAAGAAATGGCTTATGGTATCTCTGTATATCTCTTATCATTGGAATATAAATCAAAAGCTAATTTTTCTTACAACCCTTACCATTCCTCTCTCATGCCCCCCTCTAGTTGCTGGTTTTCTTTCTTTTTCCTTAAATCCTTTCTCAACTCTGATTTATTAAATAACCCCATAAAAACCGAATCCAAACTTTGATGGCCAAAAGAAAAAAAATATATATATATATATATAAAAAAAAAAAAAAAAAAAAAAGAAAAGAAATCAAAATCAAAACCACGCTAAATGGAAAACAGAAGTTCAGCAACAATTTTATTCCAAAAAACTCCTCTAGGCTTTCAGTCTCCTATTGAAATGTATTTGAATTTCTTAATTCCAACTTCTTTACAAAGATCGGGATCTGATACAATTGTTAATGATTGTTTTCCCATATGAAAATAGGTACTTGTTAATTGTTAATGTATTTGAAAATAGGTAAGAGTACCTTTTTGTGTTACAAATATTTGAAAATATGTATTTTAAACGAATCGAGCTAAATCGAGCTTTAAGTTGTTCAAATTTGGTTCAAATTTTATTACCTACAAATATTATCAATAATTAAAAACACTATTTAGATTATTTTTTAAAATATTGGTATTATTACGTATAATAATAAATTTATAATATTTATTATATTGTAACTATTACCTATCATATTATTACTATAAGATATAATTATAGTATTATTTAGTAAAATAATAATTATTATATTAGATAATGAAGGATTAAAAATAAATATCTTAAATAATCAAATATGTTTTAAATTTATACAACCAATTAGACAAAAGGATTTAAGTGCTATACAATATATTTCTATATATAAAGAAATAAATTTTATTGCACAAAAACAAAAACATATTAACTATTTGAAACAAGAAATTAATAACATTAGGATTGAAAATCAATTACAACATACTCGTATACTACAGAAAATTAAAGATTTTTAAGAACTTTTAAATAAAAAAATATGTTCAAATATTCTAAATGTCTTTTAGTCTAGAAAACAACATATAGTCGATTTATCTTATATAAAAGATTTTGATGAGAAAAATATTCTAACTAGATATGGAGTAATATAGATGAATAAACAATTACAAGAATATTGTTACAAAGAGAAAAATGATTTATTAGATAAATGATTGATTAGAAAATCTAAGTCCCTTCGGAGCTGTTCAGCTTTCTATGTCTAGAATGCGACAGAAATAGAAAGAGGAGTACCTAGGTTAATTATTAAATATAAATCTGTAAATATAGTATTACAACGGATTATGTATCCTATACAGAATAAAAGAGATTTGTTAAAAATGTTACATATTGTGAATATTTTTTCTAAATTTGATATGAAATTAGGCTTTTGGTAAATACAAATACATGAATCTGATAGGTACAAGACTGATTTTAATATTCCCTTTGGTTACTATGAGTGGAATGTTATGCTATTTAGTTTGAAAAATACCTTTTCCGAATATCAAAATATTATGAATGACGTTTTTAACAATTACCATGAATTTTCAATAGTTTACATCAATGATGTGCTTATTTATTCAAATGATATTGATCAATACTTTTCTTGTAACATCCCTTCCCGGTCCACCCGTAAACCCGAATGAACCGAGTCAAGACGCTACAATCTGGTTGACTCTATGTCCTGTCATGCTGATATCATAATGTATACTGACTATACTATCATGCTGTTGCTTTCTACATTAGCTCACCGTAAACCCGAATTGAACCGTAGTCAAAACCTTACAATCGGTGGACTCTATGTCCTGTCATGCTTGATAATTCCATAATGTTAATATGACTATAGCTACTATCATAGCCTGCTTGCGTCTCTACACTTAGTACTGGTGCTCAATATTTACCACGACATGTTATACTAGATGGTCAAAAGAAATGGGAGCCCAACTATATACCCTGTACATGCTCATGACCTACTATATAGACAGAATTTAAAATTATCAAAGTCCGCAGCTAGCTACCCTGAAGACTGGATCTTCAAAAGACTATTGATACGTATGCAGCAGGCTTGATAAGCATGATTCTCTACGCGTCCAGGACCCAAACCTACGACGTTTAAAACTAGAGCGTTAAACCTGCACTGAGATAAGATAAAGGCTCGCTGAGCAAATAAAGCTCAGTGGATATCTCAACTTATAAATAAACATGCAAGCACACATATCATTATACTTTCATGATATCAATGTATAAATAACATATAAGCACATATTGCATTAGCTTTTCAGTAGTTTACTTACTGTTCATTATGCTGTATGACTTATGAAATTTTTACATCATATAATTGAGAAATAATATAATCTCCGAACTGTATGGCTCCATAAGGTTACAGTGAAACCGAAGAAATAAGAAGAACTGTATGAATACTGTATGAAACTGGATGAATACTGGATGGCTGGGCTGATATGGCCCATATATAATCATATCCACTCAACGACCACTCAAACGGCAACGGCCTGTAGCCGGAGTACCAAACTGTATGGAGCGCAGATCTGCTATCCTATGTCGCGGCATAGTCTTATCTACATGGTTTCTGCCTAACCTCCATGGAGCATATTATCGGTATTTCAAGAATACAAAACAAAAGCATATTCAATTCTTCATCAAATTCATAACCCATGTTGTTTACCTGTTTGCTGTCTCATTCTTTCATGCTTTAAGAGGATAGCATAGATAAATCGAAGTAAAAGCACACAAGTGATAATTTGCATGGAAATCTAATTGATGCACCCGTGAGGCAACTTGTACCAATCCTTAGATAACTTAATTTCTACTGGTCAGTTTAAGGAATTTATTGCTGTTAATTTAACTCAACTCAGAAGGTTCAAATTCAGTGGTAAATCTTAGGCTACATGAAGCTACATATACATCCCAACATCATTTCTAATGTAACCTTGAAATCTGACAGGGCAGCCTGCACATGTTTCACAAATTCTTCGACCAAAATTCTAAGCATAACTCTATAATTCAGACGTTCAAATTGCAGTAAAGTCCTAAATTCTATGTTAGCTAACAAAATTAAGGTACAACTTTGTCTTCTATCAATCTCTGAATTACATTGGGTAAGGTAGTCAAATATTGAGCTCAAGTAGCAAACTGCCGAGTCTGGCCCAGCTTGTTGGGTTTCAGCCTGCATATTGTTCTATTGTGGTCTATCTCTCAAATTTAACCCTCCAATTTAGGTGATTCTACATTCTATGGTTCGATAAACACAATTAGGCTTAAAACTGGTTTCTTTTTTCTAACACATCTCTTAATTACGTTGGTAAGGTAAGTCCAAATATTGAGCTCAAGTAGCAACTGCCAGCCTGCCAGCTATTGGTTTCCAGCCCTGCACAGGTTATTACTATTTTGGTCACAGCTCTTCAATTTATAACTCCAATGTTAGGTGATTCAAAAACTCATGGACGAGGAACAAATAACTCTTCTATAACACTCCCTAATTCCATCGTTAAACAGAGTCAAAATCAGGGTTAAGTTACTAGTCAGTGATCCAACAAACCTGGTTTAGCATGAATTCAATGTCTACTTCATTCATTCAACATTCAATTCATCCCATGCTTTATCACCATTTACAGACCTCTAATTCAACATTCAGCAACATATCTTTGCATTATCCACACACTACAGAAGTGTTCATGAAAGAAAATGTGAAAAACTAAAAGAGATATCAAACCTTCAACCAAAAGAGCTTTAAATCTTCTTCTTAGCTTCCTTTTCCTCCAACTTTGAGCTCCCCTCTCCTTTACATCATAACTCTTATAAATCATCTAAAATATCACAAAAGTATGAAATTTAAGAAAGGCTACTTACTTGGATAGAGTTCTAGGTTGAATTTAGTATTTAAATCACATGAAAAGTGATGGAGAAAGGAAGGAGATGAAGAGAAAGATAAGAGGAGATGAAGAGGAAGATGGAGATGAAGAAGAAGACGTTGAAGATGAGTTGAAGATGAAGATGAAGAAAA